TAGTGAGGAGATTGCTTGTTCTTTTTGACAATTATAGCAAGTAAATTTTGGTTCTTGGTTGTTTTCTTTATTTTTTACTTGTTTTTTTAGGTCTTCAATAGTTTTGTATTGTTCGTGGATTTTTGTCTCTAATTCCTTTACTTTTTCTTTGTAAGGATTATGTTTTTCTAAAATATGTTCGGGGTCATTCTTTTGTTCTAATTTTCTTATTTTCTCATTAGCCTCTTGGAGGGCTTTTTCTAATTCTGTTTGAGTTTTAGTTGGTTTTATTTTTTTTATCTCCTCTTTCAAATTATCATTTTCAGCCGTTAATTTTTGTAGACTAGATAAATAATTCTGAGCCTCCCGAGCATGGAATTGGACTTGCTGCTGTAATTCTTTTAGATTGTTGGTTTTAGTAGGTTTTAAAACTGGACTAGGGGGAGGAGTAGGAATGCCATGGGTAAATTGAGTAGTATTCCCCCGTTTTTTCTTTAAATCCGAAGGTTTAGTTCCTGGTTTTACTTTTTCCAGGATTTCTTTTTGCAATTTCTCTTTTGTCATATTTTATTGGACTTTTTGTTGTATTTTGTTTGCTTTTTCTCAACTTTTACATGAATAGTCTTTCACTCCCTTTTGTTGTGTCATATATGAAATTAGGCTCTTTATTTGTCATTGCCGTTTAATTTTTGTTCCAATTCTTTTACTTTGTCTTTTAATTCCTTAATTTCTCGTTTTTCTTTACCATTCACCCTTTCTACTTCTTGGATTTCTTTTTTAAGTTCCTTATTTTGCTGTTCTAATTTAACTTGATTAGCCGACATGGTTAAATTATATTTCAAAGTCATGGCAAATAAGCCTAAAATAACGATTAAAAAACCACAACATAAATAAAATCATTGGGTGCAGTTGGATTTATTTTTGATAAGTTTTTTGTTTTTATCCATGTTATTTTTTGATTTCTTGTTGTAAATCTTGCTGGGAAGTTTCTTTTTGTTCCAACTGTTCCGACTTTTCTCGGGTTTCTTCCTTCACTTCCTCCATCTCTTTTACCTCCAAAACTTTTTCCTCCCTTTGTTCGGGTGAAGTGCCATAACTTAAAATATGCTCTCCTTGGCAACCCACTTTCTTTTCAAATTCCCAAATACTTTTTTCTCTTTCCCTCTTTTTGTCTCTTTCCAAAGCAATAAATTGAGCCTCATTGAGTTCTATTTCCGGATTATTTTGTCTTTCTTCTTTTTTGCTGGTTAAATGTCTAATGCCATAAACTCTTCGTAATTCGGAAAATTCCTCTTTATAGTCTTGGTAAAGTCGGGTTCTTTCCTCGGGGCCTTTGGAGGGGGAATAGACCACCATTTCTTTAATTTCATTAGTAATTGAGGGGTCAGCAATATAGAATAAATAATCCTGATTAGAAGCCTCAATCTTTTTGGTTTGAGTTTCTTCCGAGGGGTCATTTTCACATCTTAAAAATACTTTTTTTTTGCTTTTTTCTCGGTCCCAGGTAATTTTCTCTCTAATATCTCATAAATCCTCTAAATAAATAGTTTCAGCATCTAGTAAGTTAGAAGTTTTGGAGGAGTTATTAAAAAAGAGAATAATTTCCTCATCTTTCAAAAAGATTTCTTTTTTTTCCTTTTCTTTGGGTTCCACATAATCTTTGGGTTTGGTCCGTAATATTTTGCCCGATTTAAATTGGATTTCAATATTTTCATACTCTCCCAGGTCATTTTCTTCATACTTAATTAAATCTACCACTACTCATTTATTATCCTTTTTACTTACTAAATATAAAGCCCCTTTACCTTTTTTTGATTGTTTTTTTTCTAGGTCGTTTCAATGATAAACCAGAGGGCAATTTTCTTCCGAGCATTCTAAATTAGAGATGCCAATAAAGTAATTGTGAAAAAACTCTAATATCTGGGCTTGTCATAAATCTTTTTGAGTAGGTTTTTTATTCATGGGATTGTTGCTTTTTTAACTTTCTTTTTTGTTTTCGGGATAAGGGTTTATTTTCATCATCATTTTCCGTTTCGGTTGCTATTCTCGTCTCTCTCTCTCTCTCTCT